CAAACAAACAAAACAAACGAGGAAATTTCGAAATTCGCTGGCACAGAAAAGTGACTCTCACCAGCTTTTCTACACAGAAAGGTAACCCACTCGTTAGTTCTGTGAGCAGAAAAGTACTCACCCTACTCTAAAAATGGGGATTATTAACAATTATATACTGAAGCTTATTCAGGTAATTTGTGAAGACATGTTTCATGGCACTTGTTTTCTCTCTAGATAAATGAATGTTTTTTATACTAATAACACTCTACAGATAAGAAATCTAAAAGAACACTGCACTTCGAAGAAAGCGCATTTTCCCATTTCACAAGTTACAATCATATCTACGGCTAATGGACACAACATCCACAATACTAATTAACCATTCTGTTAATTAAACCGACGTCCAATCACAACTGACATTACTGAAATATGTTCTAACTTCATTTTTTTACACATAAACAATACTAAGACTAAAAGACCTAAAAGTGTCAGATGCAAAGTGATAAATGACAATTTTATAAATGATTTCATCAAAAGTTTGGAAAAAAACGAACTGTTATCTAGTAATTACATCAAATAATACATAAACATCCTATAACGAATTGTTGGATAAATATACAACTAATATAAACATTTTTTTTCCGAGTAAAAACCACAAAATTCAATTAATACCATTATAAAATGAAACCATGGTTAACTAAAAGTAGGTTAATCTCCACACGGACTAGAGATATATTATATTAAAACTATTCTATGTTGGAAACCTAATGCTTATATTATAGAAATATCTGAAACAAAGACCCAACATGTAGTACAAACAAGATAAATAAAAAATTGGGAACTTAAAAACCTGCAAATAAGGATCGTAAAAAAAGTAAGGAAACAAGGCTGGAGATACTGTAGACGTTATTTATTTAAACTACAAATCCCTATTTTGGCTCCATGCTGTTACCTAGAATTACCTTTGGAGGAGTCAAAATAGGGATTTATAGTTTCAGTAAATAATGTCTACAGTATCTCTTGCTTTGTTTCCTTATTTTTTTTTACGATCCCTATTTGCAAGTTTTTAAATTCCCAATTCTTTATTTATCTTGTTTGCGGGCTTTTTTATACTCAACTATGGGCAAAGGATTACTTGATATAGTAATTAATTTTGTACATTGTAATGATAGTAAACATACCTAGTAGCTAGTTGATACGGTTCATGATGGTTTACTGTAGCTATTGACTATTTGATCCCATTAGTTATAGATGTAAAATGTTAAGCTACAGCTGGAGATTGTCATGGAGAGTGGTTTAAGAATCTAGTGAACATTTATAGTTTCTGTGTAACTAAATTTTCTATATATAATGCATAGCAATGGGTAAATATATGTCTAGACTAAGACACAACCCCCACTAAGTACGAAAAATAAATTACCAGTAGAAAAGCAGACTTTTCAAATCAAGTTTATAGCACACCGACTATGGCGAACTAATAATAGATACTCTCCTCTTTCGGCGTGTCGCGTTGGTTATATTTATAGCTGTTTGGAGGCGTTCTAGAAATTTCAGTTTTACGTAATGACACAAATTTAAGCGTTTACGTACACACATATATTGTTGATTCTTACTCTCGAGAATCTTCTACAACTTTGGAGAATAGGCGTGAGTTTTGTAATACATATCTAGCACTACAAGCTATGCATGTTTTTAAATATAAACTTAATCCAAACAGCATCGATATTAAAATAAATATATAATAACAAATTCGTTACAATGACTCACGAAAATAATCAACTAATCGTAATTAGTGTTTCTAGTTATTACTGCTTTAAGTTATTACAACATTCCAAGTAATTGAAATATTAGTTATTACCACCATTCTGGTTTCACTACTCCTGAATGGCATGTGGCAGTTGGTTGTGTTTACAGCTAATGTTTCCTCGTTCCTTACGTAAGATATCTTATATCATTTATTTTTTGTAACTTTCACTCACAGTATTGATTATAGTATTTAGCATATCGAATGCCGTTATTTTGGTTTATTGTTGATCATTATAATGTTATTATAAAGAAAGTTTTGCATTGTTAACTTAATATATGAGTATTTACATGATGTCAGAAAAACATGTAGGTTCAATAAGTCTTGATACAAAATGATAAAACCCTATAACCCTAGAGTTATAGTAAATAGTTATCCCAGCACTTCCAGGCACGCTGGTAGAGGGCTCTAAATGCATGTCGAACTCGGGCAGTAGGGAGGGGGAGGAGAAAATGATGTCACCAAAGACAATTATGTCATAGATCCACAAAATGTCACCAGAGAGGACGTGTTTCTATGCCGCCATGACAGGCGGTCATGACGTCAGATATGATGACGTCATAGTCTCACGAAGTGTAACCAGATGATATGATGCTAGGGACGCGTTGCTAGGCCGCCATGACAGGCGGTCATGATGTCATGTTTCCACGAAGTGGAACCAGCACAATTTTGATCAACATGACTGTATTTAATGCAGTCAGTATAAAACACTAATTCATTAGTTCTATACATTTCCTGACCATTTATATTCAAAAAAGTCCAAAAAGAACGCTTATTTAAATATAATGCAATAATTAAAACTTCCTGTTTGACTCGTTAATTGTAAATCAAATGATTATTATAAAATTTTTCGGTAACATGATTATAATAAAAAAAATCTGGACACATTGTTTCTCTTTTAACAATTTATTAATTTTCTCGCAATAAAGATTTGCAATCTGATATACATAAAAAGACACATCTCTTAATGACATATTTACATGAAAACGTTTTACAACAAAATCATGAACAAACATATCATTACTATCTTTGTGAAATCCAAATTTAGATAGCAGTTTTCGTTTCGACACATGTCCACAACAATAATAAGCATAACATATACAATATTGTCCACACACACAGACGTACACACACAAACTTAGTTTATAAACGAAAAACAGCCATAGTTTACAACAATCAGCTTAGTCACACTTTTACATTTCCTGACCATTTATATGTAAATCATCCTGAAAAATGGACGATTAACATTAATCCATTGGTTTTATCTTTAACTACATCTTCTGACCATTTATATGTAAATCGCCCTGAAAAAGGATGCTTATTTAAATTCATGCAATAATTAAAACTTAAACTTTCTCTAGTTTGACTTCATAGTATCAATATAACTTGATAAAATATTTTATTTTACACAGGATACTTTATAGTTTTATCTTACATGAGTTTTACAAGCGTGGACACTGTACTTCAACATATGAATACGTCACCAATGTCTAGATTTATTAAATCAAAACCATTATTTTAACGACAGTCTTACTGTCCGTAGGATTTCAACAAATCTGCTGTTACCCATTATTTGAACGAGATCACAACTTACATTTTATTATGTAATAAATATCTTTAATCTCTACTGTAGAATAACAACACTTACCATTTTTTTCATAAATCATTGAGAACTGAACTTTCTTGGACATATATCGATAACGATAATAAGTATATTATATACAATCCTGTTCACTCTCTCTCTCTCTCACACACACACACACACGAATACGGTCCTTACAGTACATTTATGCTAAACAGTTCATCTTGATGATTTTCTTATGTTGAGATTATGTGGAGGCAGTTCTAATGGATCAAAATATTCTCCTTTCTCATTTCTACCAATGTAAATACAGACCCAGTTGTTACCAGATTTATGACTCGGATTCAGATTGACGATTTACAGTTGTTTTTCTGCAAGGTCAGATAGTTGATCACCTCCAAACTTCTTTCACATTTTACAAATCCATCATGTTTACTGCCTATCATTACAGAATAAACTTTGCAAGAAAAACAAACTGAATGTCCACTATACATTAACTCTGACAATGGAGAACGGATTTTGTATGTCACTGAACTTAACAGTCAATAAAACAAATTTATGTATTCTTATACTTTACATAACAATACAGAAAACTAAATGTACATTCATGAAGTTCTCAATATTTTAATAGGAAATTGTTTTCTACTTCTAAGTTACTACTTTATATTTTTTATCTAGATCTCACATATTTGTCGTATAAATATAATTTTACAAATATAACAAACTTCTGTCGTTATAAGATTTACGAAAGTTTAAAGTAGTAAAAGTCATAACACATTAGCACATGGTTCTCTTTAATTTACAGTTACAAGTTTTTATATTAAAGAATAAAAGGTGACGTGAGAATGTTATCCACTTTTACAATAGTCTTGTGATCATCCTTAGAAAATAATATTTTGATTATAAATAGATGTACAATGCTACAGCGTTATTTCTGCTGGTGAAAAGAAAAAGCCAGGGTACTGAGTGTTTGACAACATCCTTGAGGTCTGAGGCTAAGTAAAAATTGCATACCAACACCGAGATAATCGGAGTTTCCTCGCATAAAGACCTCCAAAAATCTTATATTCAATCTACACTAAATATAAGATTACTTTCCTGGTTACGTTTGAACGAGACCTATCGCCAGTACTCGAGTTCGTGAGTCCGCTGGAAATGTCAAATCTAAAGTTAAATACATTAATAAATGATGTAATATTTTAACCTATACTTTGATACATTTCCAGCCTACACTACGAATCTAGACATT